TTTAACAATATGAAAATTTAAAAAAAATAGATTGTGGTAATTTAAAAATTCTACTGAAAGCTACAGTACAATTGGTGTTTGTTCCGTTTATAATATTTCTTGCAACTAAATTGAAATTTTGACAAAAAATTTAATTCTAAAATGTATCATTTCATTAAGAAAAGAGGAGATTATATTGCCAAATATCCTTTTCTAAAATTATTGTTGTCTGACTTGCCTAAGACAACTCAAGAATCAGCGCTGAAAACTTAGAAATTGTTTTAAAATTTATCAAATGTTCATACTGTTCCCTTGTAAAATTCTCATTAAGACTTAATATTAAAAATTTATCCTTATTCAGATCGTAAATATATGTTCATGAAGCTACATAAATAAAATGACATCCAATCAGAGAAACATCTATCAGGCAATTATTATTTTTCCACCTTTTTACATAATATGAATTCATTAACTCATCAAATTTCAATGCTGACTTTGTGTTCCTATTAATGTAAATTGATTTTAATTATTGTTAAAATTATTTATAGTGGTAATATCTATTATTATATTATAGTGAAATAAATATATTATTATATAATAGTGAAATAATTATTTTCTTTATCTTCTGTAAAGCAAAGACTGGCGCATTATAGATGTGACAAAAATGACAATAAAATTTATAAAAATCATTACTTGTCTGAGATTCTTTTTTTAACGTATTTGACGACTTCATTGATTTTTGAAAATGTTGAATTTGGCTTTTGGTTTTATTATACAATTATATTTTCTATGCTTTTAATCAATTAGTATAAACAAATTGATTCGTTATTTTTGCAATATCACTTGAGATGTTTCTAATATTTGGTTAATAAAGTGATTTTTTATGCATTTAATTGATAGTGGAAGTTATTTTTGTTCTTTCTTTGTATATTTGCATTTATGGAAATATGTTAATCATTTTATAGTTGTAAAGTGCTTCTTAATAATATGTATATTTTCTAATTAACTAATTACTGAATATTACTATAAAGTTCCTTGTTAAAAATATTCTATGTAATTGCTATTTAATAGTAATTTATATTACCGCCCCCTGTCATGGACCACAGTTGTATGGCTGTCAGGTTACAATACAAATAGCCTAGTTCCACCTGCAAGCGTCAAGGTCTAACTCTGAATCTACCCAGTTAGATCAAGGGGAAGGTATTGCTTGGGAAAAAGATCTACAGGAACTAGAAAATGTTCATTTATTTCCTGTCTCGTACGAAGACTAAAACTGAAAGGACAAGAAAGTGATGCCACTATTAAGCTTTTTGAAATTTTTCCCCATTAGAAGAGCGCATAAGAACAAAACATTTCTCATGATACGAATCTTCTTGCTCAAGTTTCAATTTTTATACCTCATCCAACCCAAAATGAATGACGCTAAATTCGTGATGTCTTCCTGCCTCTAGGCAGGGAAACAAAAGCAGATAATTGTAACGACACTTTCTGCAATTCTGAGAAGAGTCATTACCATTCCAAACGTCGTTCGATCTCTTGTATGGGCAGAGATCCAATTAGTGTAACTGTCATCATTCTTTTCTGCTTTTCTGATTTCAGTAAAAAGAGACGCCAATATTTACTTAAGTATTGTACACCTGAAGAAGGCTTTAAAATGGATCGTTCGAAACGTTGGGTCAACTATATAAAAAAGAAAACTCATAAAAATTCAGCTTTTCTATTTCATAACTGTAAGCGACTTCAAGAAGTCTGAAATATGTTTCGACTTTAACTAACCCAGAGAGGGTTGATAAGCCGTAAAAAATAAGAATCAAACAAAGTAAACACTCAAAACAAATCAATCTATCAGTTTTCATTTCGTAGAAACATGTCTCTCTGGCATTTGTTTAAATTGACGCATTCTTTTTTCTGTATATCATGGCCTTTTGTTTAAAGTTCGTATTTTCTTGATTTCATATGAAAACGTGGAGATTTTCCAGCACATTTCAATGCTATTTTCACTATCAAAAATTAGTGCGTATAATTATAATTTATTTTCTTGTTTATAATACGAGAAATTTTGAATGAAAATTAAAGGTAAAAAAAGGAAGATGTATTATACACAAGTACACATTTTCAAAAATTTTATTCAGCATTAAAACCCATTATTTGAAACAGCAAGATTGCAAATCCACTCAGCACAATAGATAATAAAACACAAAGTAGGCAGGTGTTGATAACAATTGTTTACAAAAGGTATTTGATATGTCGACCATATTTGTTCTTTGAGAATCAATGTAATTGAACGTCTTTTGTCTCAAAGACAGGAAATTCACCAAAATTGGCGAAAAAAATAATAATAAAAAGAATACACAATATCTGTCATGTTTTGATAATATTAATGCTACAACAAAGGCCTAACTATTGTATGAATTATGCATTTTCTTTTGAGTTTCTTTCCGCTTTAAAAATGGGGCAATAATTCCAGGTTGCATATTCCTCCGTTTGTTGACACAATGTATCCAGTTCAAAAACTTCAAACGATTCAGGAAAAATAAGACAATACAAAATAGATCCGTAAACAACCCAGACATAATTATATCGCTGTATAAATAGTGTACACAGATACGTGTAATTTTAAATCGCAAAATATGACGATTATTTTATGACATCAAGATTTTAATGGATGATATGGTACAACTTTAAAAAAAAATTAAATAGGGATGGCTGTACTACGAGAATGTAGGATTATTTACATTATTCGAACTATTGTCCTAATCTTTGTCGCCATATTTATTACAACGTTTCGGCCGTTGTACGCTCCGGCCTTCTTCAGGTGGTTGGAATGTCGAACTGAACCCTTTATTTCACTCACTGGGGTAGACTGTTCTAGTTCCTTGTCTAATGGTTGTCAGTTATTATTTCCTGTTAATTCCCCTCTCCAAGTTCTTCACCGCTAACATTATATATATATATATATATATATATATATATATATATATATATATATATATTGTTGGAGCCTGTCTAAATACAGTTAATTCCTTTATAGTTATTTCTTTTTGTTTATTTGAAAATAATTATAATAAAAAGTGTATGACTTACTATCAAGCATCTGTCTATATTTTCGTGAAATAAAGGGTTCAGTTCGACATTCCAACCACCTGAAGAAGGCCGGAGCGTACAACGGCCGAAACGTTGTGACAAATATGGCGACAAAGATGTGGACAATAGTCCGAGCAATGTAAATAGTGTACATAATAACTCATCTCAGAAAAATAGACAGATATTGAAAGGCCGAAATGTTGTAATAAATATGGCGATAAAGATGAGGGCAATAGTCCGAGCAATGTAAATACTGTACATAATACCTCATCTCAGAAATATAGACAGATACTGAGAATTTAAGATGTAATTTATTCCCTGTTTTTAGCTTCAGAAACGCGGTGTCATATTATACTCAAGTCGTATTAAACACAAAAAAAATACTTTATATACATGGAAAAAACGGTGTCAATCTCAAATGAAACCAGGAGAATATGGATTTCTAGTATTTATAGTAATTTTCAAATAATAAATGTCGACAATATTTGGAGTATAGATAGAACCATTTCCTTTATGAAAGACAGTAGGTCGTCCATATCAAAATTTCCAAATAGGTCTTTTTTTTCTTATCGCTCTATAAAATCGGTGTCTAGTGAGAGTGAAAGTGAGATCATCACTATTTACATTATTCGGACTATTGTCCTCATCTTTGTCACCATGCTTATCACAACGTTTCATTGCACTTCAGACCTTCTTCGAATTGGTTGGAATGTCGAACTGAACCCTTTATTTCGCTCACTGGGTTGAACTGTTCTAGTTCCACGTGCCATGTCTAATGGATGTCAGTTATCTCCTGTTATTTCCCTCTGAAAGTTCTCCACTGCCTTAATGAGGTACTGAACTCACACTCTGTAGAGAACTTTCAGAGGGGGAATTAACAGGAGATAACTGACATCCATTAGACATGGCACGTGGAACTAGAACAGTCTACCCCAGTGAGTGAAATAAAGGGTTCAGTTCGACATTCCAACCACCTGAAGAAGGCCGGGGCGTACAATGGCCGAAACATTGTGTAAGCATGGCGACAAAGACGAGGACAATAGTCCGAATAATGTAAATAGTGTACATAATACCTCATCTCAGAAATATAGACAGATACTGAGATCATCACAATCAGGAAATGATTCACGGTATCGAATGCAAAGCAAATTGCAAATTCCGGCCGCATCTTCTGTATGAGTATATAAAAAAGAAGAAGAAGGTGATTTTCGCACGATAATCGAGGCAAGATGACTTGTTTTTTTAACTAGGATGAGCCTCGCTTCGAAGGGACTTCCGCCACGTTATTAGGTACCGTCTCCAATCTTTCGTACTTCATTTTTTAAGGATTTTTTCGGACTAGTTTTATTGCATAAGAACAAATGTCTTATAGCATCTTTGTAAATCATCATCATCATCATCATCATCATCATCATCATCATCATCATACTGGATGTGGTCGTAGAGACGCGACGCAGCTGAGCACCTGACTAGCTTCCTCAACATATCACAGTCATGTGTGCCAATCATTCTGTAAATGAACTTCCTGTCCGCTCAGTGACGTTGTCTGTTCAATTTTTATAGATTGTAAAAAAAAAAAAAATCAACTCGTAAGAAAAAGCACCCCTCTTTTAAACTTTTTGGAAACTTAAAGGTCACTAGAATTATCCCTTATCGATGAGTTTTAAGAAAATGCATAAATAAATACTATTGCTACTGGATATATTCTTTTTCTTCCCAGTCTGTGAAAGTTCATTGTTGGACGTAGGCCATTTTCAGATGATGGGTAGAAATGGGGCATTACCCTACCGCGCTGACCCAATTTGTAGGCGGACGTGACACACTTGGGTGATTATATCTCATTTTGATCGTCCAAGAGTATTTGCGCGTAAATGAATATAACGAACCCAACTGGAATTGGAACTCTGCTCTCTGATGTCTCACCTAGCATATTTAAGCTTACAGCACCTGGTATTCCCAAGCAGTCACCCATCTATGTACTGACCAAGCTCAATGCTGCTTAACTTCAATGACCGTACGAGAACCGGTGTTGGATATATTACTGTCGATTAAAATCGCTATAAAATATTGAGCTGCTTGTTCCAAGTTTTGAACCCCGATCGAAAACCGTTCACCTACAGAAGTAAAATACTTATAAAATAAACCATGTTACTACAATCCCCAAAATGAAATATCATAAATAAATAACATGTAAATGTTAAAAATACAAATGTATAAGCAAAAAAATAAAAAAATAAAACATTCCAACACTTTTTATGTCAGCCGGTATAAATTTGAGGATTTCAAGAATCAAGGTAAAAGAATCCTCTCCGTTCCCGATCTTGCGGGATCAAGGTAAACCACAAGAAAACAAACGTCAGAAAAAGAGTGAAATAATATAAATATGAAATAGATATTTATGCTGTATGATCTTAACATCTCATGGAAGCGATGGCTGGCTGTTTTTGTAAACAGACAGACACATACACATATATACCTGTAACTTTATATATATATATATATATATATATATATATATATATATATATATATATATATATATATATATATATATATATATGGAAGCAAATCTACATATTTGTATAACTATATATGAGGATCCGGTTTCGCTGCCCTCGCTAGCTTCGACGTCCTTTAGAAGTATTTATTTGGTTTTAAGTAAATATGAATTTCTTGTTCTCACTGGGGCATACAATATGGCTCGGATGGTCGACCGACAGGCTGGCTGGGACGTTTGATGTTCTCCAGGCGCAGCGGGCGGGCAGACAATGTAAAGCTAATGAAATCGCAGACCGGACGATGGCCGGCCGAAAAAATGGAAGATGCAGAAGCTCAATCCGCGGCCCTGCCTTCATTACACGCCACGTAACTCTTTGAAGCGCGTGTTTTGTGGCTACCACGGACCTTTTGTGGCTTCCTTTGTGATTGGAACACAGGAGAGGTACGCTCGGTACTGCGTCCCAGGTCGCTTTCGCAAGAACTAAATAAGGAAAGTAATATATCTATTTATATTAATATCCCTGTATTTACATACATACATACATACATACATATATATATATATATATATATATATATATATATATATATATATATATATATATATATATATAGATATATATTATATACATATATAAAGAGAGAGGGAGAGAGAGAGGGGTAAAGAAGGAAGTTATGTTCCTTCACACAAATATTTAAAAAGTCACATGGTTTGTTTTTTTGAAGATGAAATTCTGGAAGACAGGAGTATTCTAACGGAATTATTGTCCTACCATGTTAGTCAAGATCTATGCATGATACTTAGTAGTCATTCGTTTGAAATTTTAAAAAAATAATAGTTTATATTTGGGTTATATTTTATGGTAATACTAAATATAAAAAAAAAAAAGTTTCAAAACACGTATGAGTACCAATAAATAATTTTCAAAGTCTATATGATTCTTTTATATCCTATTAGAATGACTTTGCATCGATTCGATACTTAACTGACGAACATGCAAACATACAACGATTTTGTAAACAAATTGCAAAACCCGTATCAAATAAGAATTAATTCAGAATTTAAAAATTAATGACAGTAACCAGCAAAGCAAAATTTATATTCCAACTTTACTTGCATCATTAGCATGATGACGAAATCTGCCATTCAACTGTCATAGCTTTAAGTACTGCAGTTTTTTTTTCATTTTATTTAAATAATTACTAGTATTTCGTATATTACAAATTAGGTTAAAATATTTGAAATTCGAACATTAGTCTTATTTAAATACTACTTTTGTCTCATAATAATTCTTACTTGCAGTGTAGAAAGATTCTCCTTAACGTTTACATTAAAGCAAAAAGAAAATAAAGTAGTTATGTAATAATCGGTGGAGTAATGGATAGCGGCTCGGATTGCGGAATCCGATAGCCGAGTTCGAATTTCAGACGAATCCATCACTTACGCCCAAATACTTTTTTCTTTTTTTTTATTTATTAATAGGAAAAGGTATTATGACTTCTTCTCAGCTCTGGGTAAATAACAGGAGAGACCGGGTTCTATAGCCTTGGATAGCAACTGGTCTACCGCAAAAAGAAAAGGCTACTTACTGCCGGAAAAAATCTGCCTCGTCAGTCATGTATCGAAAGATACATGATCGCTTAAACGTGTATCACGCATGGGACATAACTGACTGAATTTTGAGAAATATTTAAATAAATATTACGATTCTTGTCTCATAATTTTTGTAAAATTTAGTGTATGAAATGTGTATGTAAAAAAGCAACAACTATTATAGGACAGAGATAGTAACTTTTATTGAATAGTACTGGTTTTCCAAGCGTAGATTAGATGTGGCACAAGGACGAATGTAGGGAGCACCCAGTGAGTATCGAACTCACTACTCAGTCGTAATTGTTCTAATGAGCCATTTTTGATAACCATTACATCACGTTGAAACTTTTATTGAGTAGTAACCAAAAGAATATAGGAAATGTTTGTGCAAATATACCATTCATTATAAGAAGTACAAATGTTTAGTGAATTGTAATAAAAAAAAGGAAAATATATTACTACCACTGTTCTATAATATTTGTTACACTGAGTGTGTAAAAATTGACCTGAAATAATTGTTATATTTGTAAATAAATAAAAGAATAAAAACTAAACTCACCGGCAAATTAATTCAGTGCTTAGAACGATTAAGAGTTATTTCAATAATTTTATTTACATATAAACATTTTTGTTATTCAAAATAGCAATATGGTTACATTTAATGATTTTATTCAACAGAACCTCAATGTAATGTAAATAGTGTACATAATACGTCATGTCAGAAATATAGACAGATACTTAATAGAACCTCTTTCAGTATTTTCAAAAATCTTTTCTTTTTCTTCACCATTTATCATCATATTTATTATTCTCAACAAAACATGTCATTCCCTTTCTCACAACAGGTTCTCTTCCCATAAAAGTTGCTTTATTTAGTATATAAAATATGTAAATGTAGCAAATACTGAGCAGCAGTTAAAAAAGCATGACCCCTGTCCCAGAAAGGTTGTGACATAGAAAGAATTAGACTCGAAATAATTGTTACATTTGTAAATAAAAAAAATGTAAAATGAAAATAAAACAGGTTATTAAATCAGTTCTTGGAACAATTAAGAAACTTTTATATGATTTAATTTACTGTTACACATTTTTGATATACAAAATAGTGAAAATTGAATTGAATGTTGTTTGGTAGTCAGTTTTCCCGCCGAAATTTTTGATATGCCTGAATTTATAGGAATTATCGTCCTTTGACAACATGATATAATCCATAAACATAGACAATTTTAAGAAAACATTATACTAACCCTTAAACAGTGAATGCACTCCAAGACGTTGATCTTTATTAAAGAATTACTACAGAGAGATTTATAGATAACAAAACAATTGTTGCTAGTATATATAAATATGAACTTTAATAAATATTGCCAATAATCAAAAACAAAATGTGCAAATGTAATAATTACTATTGGAAAAATGTAGAATTTGAAAATATTTCCCATAAGTTATATCAGAATTATCAACATTTAAAAAGTATATATTATTACAGATTCAAACTGGACACTTATTCAAGAGTCTGGTTGGATTAGCCGTTTTTTCGGATTGTCAAACCTCATAACACAGGGATTAATAGTCTAGATGATACAGTAACTAACCAGCAAAACATTTTTTAAATACTGATAATAATGTAGTCGCCATGTTCGTCAAAAGTAGCATAAATCGAAAAAAAAAACATTCAAGGTGAATACGAGTTTTTGATACAATTTTGATCGAAATCTTAAATAGCGGGACACTTGTTGATCATACTGCAAAACTTTTATCTGTATCACACTAAGACAAAAATAGCTAATAAATCAATTAAATAATTTTAATATTTCATTTAATATTAGCTGATAACTAACGTATAACTTTGATAAATTCAAGTTGTAAATTTAGATGTATATTTAGTCAAAAGCACAAAATCTTTATTTCGTTAAAATTTGGTAATAATAATAATAATAATAATAATAATAATAATAATAATAATTCTCAGACATTGTTATTAGAGATCGCACACAAAAAAGTGCCTCCTTATTAATATGGCAGTACCTGCAGACTGCAATGTATCTTCGAAGATCTTCAAAAAGATATCAAAATACAAGGACCTTGAAATCGAAATCTCAAAAATGTGGCACATGGCAATATCAACAATCCCCGTTGTAGTTGGAGCCCTCGGATTAGTTTGGAAAAGATTTCAGTAGACTAATTGAAGGGATCCCTGGAAGCTCATGCCTTAAAGAAATACAAAAAATTGTTCTCACAAGTACAGCCCACACCTTACGTAGAGCTTTGTCTATGCCATTTTTATTTTTTCAGTGGAAAATGTCATGATGCCATTTCTAACCTTAGGTCCCTGGACGGGACCCGGAAAAAGATGAGTACACATCAGAAATCAAAGGAAATAAAATAATAATAATAATAATAAAAAACTATCTTGACTACAACCGCATAGAGAGCAATCATCCTGATGTCACACTTGTGCACAAAAGCAAGTGGATCCTGATAGACGTGCAGTACCTTGGAATAAGAAAATCGTGAAAGCGGATCAGGTGAATATACAGAGGTACTAAGACTTCACAAGGCAAATTGAAGAAATGTGTCAAGCAGCTGTTGAAGATCTTCTTGTTGCGAATGATGCACTTGGGATTGTTTCCAAGAATCTCTCTGCCTTGTAAAATATATTGAGAATACTTAACATGATTTGTAATGCGTACATAGCTGAGCTGCTTGGGACAGATCATGTTCTCTGGAACGGAATTAAACACTGGCTTACTCGACCTAAAGGTATTTCTAACTGGGCTTCACCTGTAAGGTTATACACTGCTTTTTATCAAAACCTGTCATTATCTCGCACGTATTTGACTTTGATGCGTGAACTTAGGAAACTGTTTAGACTGACTGCCATCATGGGTACATAAGCATTCGGAAATTTTACTCTTGTATCACTTTGCTGGCGTTGC